CTTCCATGGCCAACTCCAACTTGGATTTCTCCTCGGGTTGTGAAGGGGAATCTTCTTGATATGGGGAAGCCTCTTCATATCCCCAATGGTATAGTTGTTCTTCTTGGAAGGGGGTTGGTAGTAGAACCCGGATCCTTGGCTTGCCCCTTCTTGTTCACTCCATGAAGCTCCGAGGAACCCCCATTCGGGTGGTTGTGGATACCCCCACATATTGTAGAAGCCATTGGGATCCATGATTCATAACCTACACAAACAATAACACAAAAACAAAATCAAACAAACACAAACCACCCTTATAAGAGAAGAGTGGGTAAACAAAACACAACACAAAACACAAACAAAAAGACAAGATAGAAAATGCTAGAGTAACACTAAACGACCATTTCAAAATAATGGACCGCGGTTCCACGGCAACGGCGCCAAAAACTTGACTCGCTTGAAACTACACCACGAATTAATCCTGTATAGAGCCCAAGTTTTTAAACTCTAGTCGGGTGCAATATAGAGCAAGTATTTAATTGTCAAGCTCGGACCGGTCCATGTACCCCTACTTCAATCAATTAGTTTGCTATCTAGCAAACATTTTTGTGTTTAAAACTAATAAACCTACAAATGAAAACAAGCAAGTAAAGTAAATCGAGGTTGTCCCAATGACAGAAAAGTTCACTCAGGCATTACTCCCCCTAGCTAACAATTACGACTGGAAGGATCGAATGATCGTGTATGGTTAGGGGGTTATAAACCGCAGGGTAGTCTAACAAGTACCCAAGGATACCCACTTAGTCTCTAGGTCGAGGAAATGGGATACGATCCAAGCCATTAATGCGACCCTGTCAACCTATTGACTAAGGAATGGTTAGACTTCACCCTCGAATTGGAGTTCGGACGGCCACCCACAACCAAACCCTAAGTGCTAATACGAAATAGGAGGTTTTCCCTTAATTAACCTAGTATAGGAGGCATAAAATTCCCAAGGAAACCCATCTCTTATATAGCCTCTTAACCTAAGGAGGTCTCCTCTCTAAGCTAGGTTAGAATGGCAACTAGACTGATAGGATTTCACACAAAACAATCATTGATGAATAATACCTCCACATTCACATTAAAACACAATCACACACAAATCATTCAGTTCATACAAGCATTCACATGTTTCAAGCTAGGGTTCACAACACCCAAGTGAATAGGTAGGCTACTCCATAGCTAGGGAAATGAAAACAACAAAAGGGGAAGAAAGAACCATCAAGTGATGCCAATCCATCCTCTTTGTTGCTTGAGACACCCTTGAGATGAAGAAATCTTCAATCCTCTAGCTAGGAACAAGCCCAAAGCTCCTTCTTCCTCTTTTGATTTGCACTTTCTCACTCTAGAAGAAACCGTAACCTCTCACTAGAATACTCTTTATTCTGAAAATGAAAACCTAACCTAAAATGATGCTCCCCCTTCTCCTTTAGCTCCCCTCTCCTTTTATACCTAGATCAGGCTCAATTCAAGGTCTTAGAGCTCAGTTCAAGGATGCGTTGATCAGTTCACGGTCTTATACCTTAGTTCACGACCGTGAACATTGAAACGCGTCCGTGAACTCAGTGTTGAGACCAAAACGCACCGCTTCACATCCACGGTTCACGGTTTGTGCTTAGAGTTCGCGGTCTTAGAGACCGTGAACTCACTCGGCGTCAGTAATCTTTTGAATCGGCCTGGACTTTTCGCGTTTCACGGATTTTGCTTCCAGTGCATGGTCTTAGCAGACCGTGAACTCCCATATGAAACCATGAATGTTGCTTGAAATGCCCTCTTTGCCCGGTCTTTGCTCCTTTTCTTCCAACTTCCGACTCCGGGGCTGGTTTCACCTTTTAGATCCTGAAACACTCTAAAACACAAGAAACCTAGCGTAAGACCACCCTTTTAGTAGCACAAATGCCAGAAACGCCCAAGGTAAACAGGGATAAAATGCGTACAATTAGGTCCTGATCACGGATCGTGTTATTAGCCAACGAGACTTTCAAGGTTGTATCCTCTAGACTATTGAGGTTATATGAGCTCCACTCCAGCTCAAGGAATCAGGAGCAGCGTAACCACCTTCAATCAATCCAAGTGATTGATCAAACACGAAACTGAATCAAACAAGCTTGAGCTAGTTAGTTTGGCCTCTGATTTGATAGAAACAATATAGTAATCTTTCACCGGGGAGAAGGCACGATCTTTATTGGGATGCTTTCGATACAATCGAGTGTGATTCTTGATGGATAAGCTAGGGATCAGCAAGTTTTGGAGCTCTCCAAAACCCAATCAAACTCACGAGCAAGGTTTCAAGAATTAGGGAAAAATTTTCAATCAAATATATTCTGCCTCTTACAAACGAGTTAAGACCTTTTATAGGTAAAGTACAATCCTCAAACGATGCTTAAATAGAATAAAGAAAACCAAAACAACTAAGAAAGAAATTCTACAACTAATCCTTCCCTAGGTACTTTGGACGTATGGATTATGGTCCAAATGAGCTTCAAATCGTCATCCAATGCCTTCCCTGGGTTTATGGTAAGTCACAGTGCATCATGGAACTTCAACCTCCGCTTGGTTGCTATCCAACATGAAGATATTGTCCTCCAAAGCAGGCTACTTGACCACCTTCCATGCCTTATCCGAATTTAGTATAAATTGAAAAACAACTAGCTTTCTACTTGCTAGGTTGTTTTTTCTTGGCCTGTAAGCTTCCTAGGAGGCTTGTATCATGAGAGCTAGTTCCTTATAGACATATAGGGGCATTGCATTATGGCTAGCTCTTATATCTACAAGATCATTAGTTACATGAAACTTATTGAAGAGACAAGGTATAACAAAGTTCCCTAAGTTGGTTAACTTCTGCAGTACTAGGAAATGCATATGGGATAGTATGCTCTCCATTGTGAGCTTTCGAGAGCGCTCATGCTCGGCCTAGAGAAGCTACTTTATGGCTTTCATGGAATCAGACATCCCTATTATAGCTTTAAGCGTTGGTATGACAACTCCTCTTCCTCCCACCGCGAGTAACTCATTGAATGTAGAGTGGAGTGAAGATTTGGAACTTGCTCGATGTGATGGAGAATTGCCACCTCTACCGCTAAATTCAAGCTGTTGGGGCTACCAATTTCTCTCAAGGTAAGACTGATTGTTAGTTCTCCATGATAGCCTTAACTTTCCCCTTTATGGTAGAAAAGATTTTGTACCTTTGAGGTTGCGAGGATTCGTACCAGCGCACTAAGAGAAATCTTGTTCCTTGTGAGGTAGGGAATTCTTCTCTACCTTCTTCTTTCAATAGAAGAAGGTCATTTTCGTATGCATGGAAAATCAAGATTTTCTTTCGCGGTAGGGGTTGTTGAATAATCCATGTAGGAGTTTCCTTGTAAGTATCTCTCATATCCGCGTTTTGAGCTATGGATCGATATAAAGCAAAAGGAGCGCTTCCACGAACCGAAGTGGCTGCGATTTCTGATCTTATGTTGAAGATGGATCTTTCCTATTGAAATGTTCTATCAATATGTTTCTTGCCCCAAAACAAGGTTTGGAAACTTGTGGCCAAAAGAGCAAGAACTTTAAGCACTTGCAACGTCCACCCTTTGTTTCCATTATCATAACCTTTATGCGCATATAGCTTCTGGTTCTGTCTATGTAGTCCTGATGACTCTAGAACCAGTAAAGGATCGAGCTATGGATTTTTCTTGGACGAAAAAATATCAGAACCGCTAGCGCCGAATTCGGTTGAAAATCAGCGATGAAGCTGCCGGTTTCTGCCCAATGGGAAACATCCACCTTAGCTTCCAGGTTCATCCTCTGTGACACCTCATCACATTCATTAGCACAAAGACTCGGCAGAAACTGTTTCTGACCGTGCTCTGGTAAAATATATGTGAGGTTCAGGTTGGTTATCCCAAAGAATTTTTGATCTTTTCTCTGGGATTGTTTTTTCATTGGAAGAGATTATGGTTTTCCTTGGATATTTTGAAGCTCCTGAAGGAAAGCATATTGGCGCTCCAAACTTTGAACAGTTTTGCCCTATCCTTTGTCGTATGCTCAAAGTTCCCTTCCTTCTATCCCCTCCTTTTCTCTATCTCACCTCTCTAGTTCTCTAACTTGTTCTTGCTTGCCTTTTTTGTTTCTGTAATTTGCAGGAGAGTGATGGAAGAAGATGGAAAGAAAAGAGGACACTACAACAAAACCCATAAATAGCGGCTAAGAAAATTTGCCTCTATAAATTCTTTATTTGCCTTTGTATATATTTGGAGGCAGATAATACATTTGCCTCAAATAGTCTAGTGGCTATAGCCCTACAGAGGCAAATATAGAGGCATATATTATCTGCTACTGATTAAAGATTCTGCAACTAATATTTGAGCTGCTAATGTAACTTTTATTTTGCTTTCATATCCTCTATTAAAGGCATAAATATTTGCCTCTGAAATAATTTCTAGAGACATACAAATTTGCCTCTAAAATAAGTATTAGAGGCATATACTTTTGTCCCAAAATTAGTATTTTGCGGCTAATAGATATGTCGTTAATGAGTTTGTAAGGCATAATTATCTGCCTTTGATATTTCCTTCAGATGCAGATAGCTTGTAAAATTAAAGAATAGAGGCTAATACACGTGCCTTTGAATAAGCTTTTTGAGGCATAACTTTGTGCCTCTATAATTATTTAAATGCAACGAATTGGATTTATATTTTAGATGTAAAATAAAATGTGACATTTTATAGTGAAGAATAATTTAAATGCTTGAAATTTATAATTCTGACTATAAAATAAATATGGAATTCAATATAATAACTAAAGCCATGATTTCTCAATCATTTGTAACAATGGAAAAGTTTAACTGGCGGGTCTCTCTTATAATGAAAGGACAAAAATAAAGGTCTACTAACATTGAACTCTAGACAATGAAAGGAGTGTCTTTAAGATGGTCCATGTGTGAGTTTTACCTGTTGAAAGAATTTTTTTTATGTTAGAACGTAACATACAACAAACTAAGATATCAAAGATGCATAAGCTACATCAACGTTAGGATCTTCTAAACTCTTCAATTTAACATATTGTAGTCCCTGCAGTTCAAAACAGTTAGTTATTTGTTATGATTATAACAATTTTGACAAGACAAAATAAAGTCTATCAATCAATGATATAAAAAATCCTTACTGCAGTTGAGATGCTTGATCAACTACTGCAGTTGAAGAATTTTGTTGAGAACTTTGCAATCTAGCTGAGGCATTTGATGTTTCATTAACCTATATTGTTTATGAAAAGATACACGCAAAGGTAAAATTCAACTATCGAATTCAGAACTTAAAACTTTTTCCTAATTATATGTATGTAAATATAACAAACCTGTGGCTGGCTAAAGGAATTGACATTCTGATAAGAATTCATCATGTAGTCCAAGAATGAAAATGTCTTATCTTGTACCTGAATTTGTAACAAAGTAATGTTCATAATGATGGAAGGATTTAGTAATTCTCATAATTGTTTACACCTTACAAAAGTATACCATTTGCGCCCCAGCAGCCGAGGCTACATTAGAAGACATGGCATTATAAAAAGGTAAAAAAGTTTCAATCATCACATGAGGTATTGCCTGATGCATTCATCAATAAATATACACAATGAGTAATTGGATCACAATGATTTACTAATCAAAGAACTAAGCTAAACTTAAACTTACATCATTTTCCTGCCTTTCATCTCTGGCTAGAGATGAGTGTTGCAACATGGAAAGCAGTGGACCCGTTCCTAAGTCATCTTCTTGTCTATGTGATCTCGTTGGGCTCATTCCATCTTCTCTACTTTGCTGGATGTTTTCTTCACTTTGCGATCCCATTTGACTCATTCCATCTTCATTATCATGATCTTCATTCTCCTGTAGCTCAAACAGATTATTAAGAACTGCTACCATTATGAAACTGCTACCACCCTAAGCTGAAAGTTAACAATTAAAATGCCAACAAGACAGACAAACAAAGCCAACCAAATATAAAGGACCCTTTCACTGGAAACAAAAATCCCATTATCACTAATAAACTAAACAACCCATATTCTAATGAGATGATAATTAACAAACTTCAGAACCCAGCAAGTCTTAGTTTCAAGACTAATAGTCTCATTCGTTGTTTATTCTCTGAAACATATAAAAGTATTGAAATATATGAACATAACGAACTAGCATTAACATAAATGAATAGGTGATTCATTTTTCTTATTAGATTTACCTGATTTGTCTCATCCAACATCTCGTCAATGGTCACAGTTGGATGAACTTTCTGTAGAAAGGATGAGAAGAAGACAAAGAAATGAGGTTTGGAGTGCAGAAAAATCAGCTTCTTATCTCACCTTTATGTCTATCCTTCCTTCCTCCCTCACCAATTCAAAGTTCTCAAATGGCTCCCTTTCCAAATAGCTTCTGGTTTTATTAGTTTAACTGGTATTAAGTCGCTAAAAAATTGTTAACGAACCGATAACTTGTAGACAAGAATATTATAAGTACTAAACACATAAAAACACATTAAACTATAAATTCAAAATAAAATTCCTCACTATTAGTATTAAAGTTCCAAAGTTCAAACATCTCATAAACCACATTGTTTTCAAATACAAGTATTGAAACAATAGTCAAATTTGCATATTTTTATATTTTAATCTAAAATCCAATTACATTTCTACTCATAAGTTATAACCAATCTAGCATTATGAAAATGCTAACATTATGGAAAGAACATAATTTGTTCATATAATTAACCAAAATAAAAAATTCCAACGGAGACGTGCATATGGCATTGGGAAGGAAAATTCAAAATTCTCCTTCTCATAATTCCAACTAGCTTTGACCCGGCCGGTTAGCCTGATTACTTTAATTATTATGGAATGGGGGAGAGAGCTAGAGCAGGAAAAACATTTATTTAGGTCGAACCCACAATTTGAATCTATTTGAGTCCATATAATTATACCTATAAAGAAATATCAACCATCTAGCTATTCGTATTAAACCAATTCACACCTTCATTATCGGTGTTTCCACATTTATGTTTGTTATACAAAAAAATTGCAAAAATTACATTAGAGTTTATATTCATTTTTTTTTGTATCCAATGTAATAGGTCTAATTTAGACTCAAACTATATAGTCGTTTATTGGTATGACCTTCAAGTGATATTACCAAATATGATTTGACTGGTAATAAATTGGGTTTGGCAAGGATGTTTTTTAGCAATTCATAGCGGAGGGAATTTTTCAGGCCACGTTTGGCCTTAGTTGTTCATTCACCACCACATCCAACGCTAAGGTATCACTTTCCTATAAGACTTTTTAATTTACTGCGAAATGAGATGATTTAAATTCTTTCCGTTTTGGGTTTCAAAATAGTAAATTTGCAATCACTTATTTACATAGTTTCCATCTCCTACTTTTAAATGTGTGAGATTTAAAGTTTTTTTATCTAAAGGGTTAAAGACATATTTGGTCACTGAGATTACAAAATTGGGACATGTTTAGTCACTAGAAAAAATTAATATCAAATTTGGTCACTACAATTACTAAAACTGGACACATTTAGTCACTCGCCGTTAGTCTCCGTCCAACTCCGTTAATGAAGTCTGTTAAGTGATGATGTGGCAAATAGAATTGCCTAATCAGCTGGATATAACCCAACAAAAATAAAACCCGACCCGCCACGTCATTAAAACCAACCCAACCCAACCCATGACCCAACCCCACCCAACCCTTCTTCCTCCTTCCTCTCACCTCCTTCTTTCCCGAAAACCACCGCCGCCGCCGCTCTCCTCCTTTCTCCCACCTCCTCCCGCAAACCTGTTCAAGCACCAAACAGAACTGGACCCCTGTGGGTGATTCAACCCTGTGGCGACTCTCGCATTCAGGGGCTGCAACTGTGACCGCAGTGGCCACACTTCCTCTTCCTACGATGAACGCAAAAATCAGAAACTAATGTTGCGGAAAAAAAAAAAGAACGGAAATTGCTGGAAGGGTACACTGTGCCGTGATTGCGGTTGAGCCAGGGATTGTATTGCAGGTATCCGCGAGAGAGAAGAGGAGGTTTTCCAATTTACTCCCCCTATTATTTCCTTTTGGTGGGATTGATTGATTATGGTAACAAGGGGAAAAGGCAGGTAAATGAGGTCATTTCTACTGCTGTCCATCATTCCATCAAGCATATTGATGATGGGTAGAGTTGACCCAGAAGAGCATTGTGGGTGATCAATTCGAGAAATGGTCGAGATAGGAATGAGGAAGTAGGACAAAGGGTTATTAAAGGGTAGTGAAAATGATTAAGAGGCAGGTGCAGATAGTCTTGGATTCGAGTTCTGGAAGTCATTTGTTGTTTTTTTTTTGTCCATAGATTTGGGGGAGGAAGGAGGAGAGCGGCGGCGGCAGTTTTGGGGAAAGAAGGAGGTGAGAGGAAGGAGGAAGAAGGGTTGGGTGGGGTTGGGTCATGGGTTGGGTTGGTTTTAATGACGTGGCGGGTTATAATGACGTGGCGGGTCGGGTTTTATTTTTGTTGGATTATATCCGGCTGATTAGGCAATTCTGTTTGCCACATCATCACTTAACGGACTTCATTAACGGAGTTGGACGGAGACTAACGGCGAGTGACTAAATGTGTCCAGTTTTAGTAATTATAGTGACCAAATTTGATATTAATTTTTTCTAGTGACTAAACATGTCCCGATTTTGTAATCTCAGTGACCAAATGTGTCTTTAACCCTTTATCTAAATTTTATAGCAAAATATGAACCTTTAAACATTGGCAGAGGTGAGTGAACAACTAAAGATCACAATGATTGTAGATGTAGTGGTATGGAGGTATATTTGAGCTCATACATCAATTAACTGCGTCTCATCTTTTATTGAAAACTAAGCGAAATTTAGGGAGTCATTCATTGTTATATAAAAGTATTTAAGTAAAATATGTTTGGAAACTGAAATTGCATGCATCAGTGAATAATAGAGTTCTTAACATATATATAATATGAATTGTAAAAAAAAAACATATATATAATATGGAGAGTTCTACGGTACCCCGATAATAGAGGAGTATATTATACCTATAACCCATTAAAAAATGTACAACAAATTTGTTCAGTCTAATTTGTTATGACCAAGGTTGTCACTCGATTCCACCAATAAGTCGTTTAAGCAAGTGGGTTAAAGATTAATGGATGAATTGGATTAACCTGGTTAAGCCTAGCTTTACCCAGGTGCATGAAAATTTTATTGATTTCACATGTATTATGCTTAGATATTTATGAAATTTTTATGATAAATTTAGATACAATGACGATTTAATATAACTTATTCGTTGGAATTGAGTTTTATTTTTATATTTTTCTCTCACTTGGAACTGATGCTTTAAAATGAAGTTTTAATTCTAAATCTCTTCACTCTTTCCTTTTTATCTTTTTCCATTTCCTTTTCTAGTTTTTTCTTTTCTTCTTTTCATTGCATATCATATTCCATTCTCAATGTTCTTACTCTTCTTTTCCAATTCGATTTCATGTATATATATAAATGAGGGCATTGGTCTTTGTTAATCACACAAAGTCTGAATCCAAATATATGTTCGTCTAATCTTGTGGCTTATTATTTGTTTGAGATGTCGTTGATTGGCGATGTGACCTTGCTGCTGGTAGGAAAATGGAATTGACTACTGAGGAACTGTGCTGACTTTTGAGATGATTGAGACTTGTATTGTTGACTGCCGATACTAAAGGAGGAAAATATATTATGGGATAACCGAACACGAGTGGTTGATGTATGTTGCTTCATGGGTCTTTGTTAAGGAAAAGGACGACATGTCAACAAAGCTAGTGATTAGATTTGTTGAAAATAATGTCAGTTTGAAGTGACTTAGTGCTTAGATGAGTTAGTTGAATCAACTCGATTTCCTAATTCAACTGGTTTTTTTAGTTTGAACAAGTTTGGGTTGATAACCAACTGGGCCTCCAACATCCTAACAAATACTCGGGTTTTGGCAAAACTGATTCGCAAACCATGTCAAACTTGAGTTGACAATCAGGCTTATGATTCTTGTCTTTTTGGAAGATACATTGGTTGAACTTCCAATACTTGTTTATTTTCTACAAATAAATAAGTTTAGGATTTTGCTACGGTGACATGCATGTCACCGTGACATGGACTTTTCGGTCGACCTAATCCAACATGCGGTCGACCGAAAGGACTAATTCACGTATGTGGGGTTCCGAGACGCGGTCGACCTCTTACATAATACGGTCGACCGCTTTGGTGGTCTAACAGAATGAAAGGTCGACCCAAATATCTCATAGGCGACCCTTGTGCACCTAACAGGTCGACCGCATTATGAAGAGGTCGACCGCATTCACACCGTATCCGTATTGGATATGGATTCCAACACCAGAAAGGTTCCACAATTGGACAAGGAAACGAATTGGGTCGACCCATTGACGTCCTAAATCTCTATAAATACGAATATAAGTCCCCTTCAACGCCTCCAAGTCTGAATTAGGTTTCTTCCGATTAAGAGCCTTTGTGAAGAAGATCGTTCGCGGTTGCTGTTGTACGCGTTGGAAGTGGTCGACCAGGTCTAAGGTGAGGTCGACCTAATGTACCATTCGTCGTCTTCTTTTCTAATGCGTGATTTCTACCGGCTAATTTGATATATTGTTGGGTGCAGAATGCCATTCGGTCGACCGTGACGTCAACCAGGTCGACCTGACGAGACAATTATGCGTATTTGAATTTAGGCCACAACACTTGGATTTCTGTACTTGCAAGGTATCCCAA